TAAAGGACATCATCAAGTACAATGACACACACATTGTGGGAATCACAGAAAGAGCAAAGAGAAAGGAGCAGAAAAACTTAAAGAGATAATAACAAAGCATATCCCAAATCCAGAGAAAGAAATAAGCATCCAGATTTATCAGTTTGAAAGAAATCAAGAGATTTAAGATAAGGAGACCCTCGCCTAGACACATTATAATGAAACTTTCAGTGGTCAAAGATGAAGAAAGAATTTTAAATCTGAGAACAAAAGCAACTCATCACCTACAAGGAAACCTCCATGAAAATATCAGTGTGTATTTAGCAAAACCTTTGCACACCAAAAGAGAACGGTAAAATGCATATAAAGTGGTAAAAGAAAACAAGAAAAACCTTCCAGCAATAATACTGTCTGGCAAGTCTATCCTTTGAAAATGCAAATACAAAAATTTTCCTCTGAATTATGTTTATCACTTTACCTGCCTTACAGGATATGCTAATTGGATTTCCTTAAATGGAAACAAAAGACACTAACCACATGAAAATACAAAAATGTACAAAGCATATTATAAAGACAAGGATACATTCAGATTCAAATTACTGTAATACTAATACTTTCATATATGAAGAAAATGCCTTTAATTCTGATGCAAAAATTGAGGCAAAAGTTTAAAAAGTAACCATACACACAATAGTTCTTTAATGGATACAAAATATTAAAAGATAAAAAATGTGACATAAAAAAACAAAATCTAGAGGTAAATAAGTTAAAGTAATGAATTGTTTTTGTTTATTTGTTTGTTTTCTACAGTACAATGGATCAAACTCAGGGCCTTTCACACCAAGATACAGCCCCAGACTTTTTTCTTATTTTTTTTTCTTTTGAGAAAGAAGTCATTCAGTGCCGACATTTGGCTTGAATTTGTGATCTGGCTCAACCTCCCAAAGTCCAGGACCGCAGATGCATCCCACCGTATCTGGCTTGAGGTCAGGTCTTATAAGCAGTAAAAGCTGCTGTCATTTTAAAATAAAATTTGTAAGAGTGCTATGTAATCCTTGTAATAACTGAAAATAAGAACTTCTAACAGATATGAAGTTAAATAAAAACAAATTGAAGCCTCTAAGAAGTCCTTTCATAAAGGAAAATACCAAAATTGGAAGAAAGAATTAAGTAACCAAGAAAATATAAAAAAATAAAATAGTACTAGTAAGTCTTTATCTGCCAATAACTACTTTAAATGTAAAAGCATTAAGTGCTCTAATTAAGACAGAGTGATTATAGTTTTTTTTAAAAGACCTAACTATACTGTGCTTATAAGAAATTCACTTCACATTGAAGGACACATCTAGACCAAAAAGTGAACTTATCGAAAAAGATATTCTGTGCAAATAGCAACTGTAAAATATCAGGATAGGTGTATGTACCTCAGAAAAGACAGATGTTAAGTCAAAAATTATAACAAGGGGTAAGGAAGGTCATCATATAATGACAAAGGCATCAATTAAGAAGATATAACAACTACAAATACTGAGACACATAAAGAAATACAATAAACATCAGAACTAAAGGGCCATAACAGGTGTATTATCATAATAAGAGATTTCCATATCACACTTTAAACAATGCTTTAAACAAAGACAGTGAACTGGATGCAGACATAGACCCACTGATGTAAAGATCTACATGTAAATTCCATCTAATAGTAGCAGAATATATAATTCTTCCCAAACACACAAGAAATAATCTGCAAAATAGATTGTGTGTTAGATCACTAATCTAGCAAATTTAGTGAAACTGAATTTATCTCAACTGTATTTTGTAACTTCAGTGTTACAAAATTAGAAATAAATAGACATAACTGGAAAATTCACAAGTTAGAAGAAGTTAAATCACAAACTTCTTTTCAATCAATAGATTATAGAATAATTGAAAGGGAAATAATATTTAATCAAGTAAAAATGTAAATACAACATACTAAAACTTATGAGATGCATCAAAACGCTTAAGAAAAGTTTATTTTGATAAATGCCAACCTTAAGAAAAAGATTAAGATCAAGATGGCGGAGTCAAAGTAGACAGCGGTTCACACTGTCTACATGACCTAGAATGAAGACAGCTAGAAAATAGTGTGAGAAAGAGAAGAGCTAGAATTAAGAAGTACCCAACAGGAGTGCTAAAGTCACAGACAAACAGAAAGGCGACATACAGAGAACAACGTAGTCCACAAGGTTGACCCTGGCTGCTGGCAGAGAGAGAAATCAGGACTCTGCAAGCATAAAGCAGACATGGAAAAGGTCGACAGTCCCAAAGATAAACAAACAACAAGCCCCACTAGGCCAATGAAAACTTGTTATTCCAAACTATAAATTCACCATATTTATTCTAATTATTCTGAAATTGACTCTTGCATGGTGGTGACCTGGGGATGATAGAAGAGCTTATTATTTCTGGAGTAGATATCATCAAAGTGGGAGTTGGACCAGGTCCCACGTAAAACACCTGCACCAAGACCTGAGTGGGCTTCCCCCAGCTGAATGCAATGATTGACAGACTCCCCCATGGCTTCAAGGGACACATCTGTTACAGAGGCTACAAGTACCAGGAGATGTCTCCAAAGCCTTGAGAGCGGGAGCTGACTTTGGCACATTGGGAAGGAGCAATGGGGTCTTAGGCCACCCCAGTTGTGTAAGAGAATTGATCAAAAGGAATGGGTAGAAGTTCAAGATCTCTATGAGGAGCTTGGAAAAAACCATGAAGAAAGATGTGGGAGGAATAACCTACTACAGAGACTCTAGAGATCATGACTGTACATTGGATGTGCCTTACAAAGGGGATGTAGAAAACACTATTCTGGATATTTTCAGGGACTAAGATCTAGCTGCACCAAGATGGGGACCACAGCCTTCAAGGAACCCAGCAGGAGGACAAAATTCATCCAGGTCACCCAGCTGCAAAACATTGCCAGTTAACCTCAGAAGGAAACTGCAGCAGAAGACGCCTCCTTGTGCACAGGCTTTTCCCACCTCTCTCCTGTCCACGTGCCAGAGCTTCTGGCTGCTCTCCAGTGCTGGAATGCTGCATCCTCTTCCCTCTTCCTGCCACCTGGGGGCCTTTCGGCATCCTACTGCCTTACTGGAGCCTGGGAGCAGGGCAGGGATTTCACCAGTGCTCGGAGTCCAAGGCCCAGGACTTAGAGCCATATTGTTTGCTTGTACTGTTTTCCTTTTTTTTTTTTTTTTTTCCTCTTCTTTTCTTTTAAGAAAATGGTTTTACTTTAATATAATTTTATTATCTTGAGATCTAAAAAATTAAAATTTCTCAAAATGAGAATATGGCTCATATTTTACATATTTTAAATTACTAGACAGTCTCACCCCCAAAGAAATGCTAATGCTTCAGCTCGCTCCAGGTTAGTTTTGGAAAGCAATTCAGTGCAGCATTTTCTATCTCTTTAAGAAGGTAATTTAGTACTGCCCCAATGAAAATCAGTACATAGATTCCTCAATAAAATAAAATAAGTGACGTGTGATGGTGCATGCTTGTAATACCAGCCCTTTGGAGACTGAGGAAGGAAGATCGTTATGTGGTCAAAGCTAGCCTTGGCTACAGAGTGATTTCGAGAGCAGCTTGCACTACATAGCAAGATCTTGCTCAAACAAACAAAGTAGAACAACCATTTGACCCAGCTATGTTATTCCTTATAGTATACACAATGGAAATAACTGTATATTATAGGGATACCTGCAAAGTCATATTTATTTTGGCACAATTCACATTAGCCATGACATAGAAAGAGCCTAGATGTCCACCAACAGGTGAATGGATAAAAAAATATGATACACATACACAGAGGACTATTACTTGTCTATAAAGAAGAACAAAATTGCAGAAGGAACAGTGAAATAAGCCAAATTTACAAAGAGAAAGCATGTCTTCCCTAGCATGTGGAATATAAAAACAAGATGAAAGGAGAGTAGAAGAAAGATTATTATTAGACAAGAAGAGGGGAGTAAGGAGGAGTGTAGGGATTGCAAGACAAGGTATTTGAGGGATGAAAGAAAATGTTATATTTTTAAGAGATCATGATGTTGGTATAAATTTACTGACATCAAAATGTGTCTCCTACACTTTGTTTTGTGCATGTGCCATTGTGGGTTAGAGTTAGGGGAAGGAGTGACAGCAAAATTACAGGGAAGCTGGAGAACTGGACCACAATGTAGAGAAAAGAATGAAGCAGTCTGGAAGCTTTCTTCAGCTCCTGGGAAGGGGAATATATTTCTGCATACACAAGGTAAGCTTCCAGGGTCAGGAGCTGGGGAAGAGGGGTGACAGACCAGGTGAACGGTGCTGCCTCCAGGAGGAAATCACCATTGTGTGAACTGCCACTGTAGCAGAAAGCTTTGCTCTGAGGTCACTCTATCCCCAAAGCAGGCAATGGCTTAACTGGAAATCCAATGCAGGGTGGGCCATACTGCCAGAGAGTGTTTAATCAGGTGCCATTTTTGGAAAGGGCTGGTGATCTAAGAATGTGATTCAGCAAAATTACAAAACACCCTTACTTTAGGGTTCCAGTGTAACCCTCCCACAGGGACTGAGTCACTGAGAGAGTAGACATAGACTCCTGGGAAGTTTAAGCTCAGGATGGGAAGAAGATAAGGCCTGCAGTCCTGGTGAAAAGCCAGATCTAGCTTGTGTTGTACTCAGAAATGGCTCAATCTGAAAGCGCTGGAATTATGTAGAGTGAGCTGCTTACAACTTGTTATCCTGCAAACATTTACTGCTGATCAGAGATGTAATTATCTTCCCCATCTTCCAGTGTGAGCAAGGACTTGCCTTGGCTTAGAAGGCTGTCATGGCCGAGGGTAAAACAGACAAAGGAGCCTCAGGAAGAGAAGATGCACCTCAAAAACCTACAGGGCATCAAGCTAGATAGGAGAAAACCATGACTTCATGCACTCTAAAACTGTAAATCCTGGAGAGAAATTGCTTATTTGAAAATATAGAGAAAAAAATACAGAGAAGAAAAATTTTGACTCACTTTATTGATTTACATGTATTGAACCATACTCGCATCATTGGGATGAAACCTAATTAGTTATTATGTATGATCTTTTTGATGGCTTTTTTGCTTTCTGTTTACCAGTAATTTGTTAAGGATTTTTTGTGTCTATGTTCATTAAAGAGATTGGCTAGTAGGTTTTGTTGTTGTTGTTGTTGGGTCCTTTTCTGGTTTTGCAATCAGGGTAATGCTAGTTTCCAGGAAAGACTTTGGAAGTACCCTTTCAATTTTATTAAAGAATTTGAGGAATATTGGTATTACACCTTCTCTAAATTTCTTGTAGAAATTTGTGGTGAATGCTTCGAGACTTAGGTTTTCTTAGTTGGTAGTAATTATTTTTTCTTTATGATTAGTACTAATTCTATTAATTCTTCAATTTCATTGCTCCACAATGCTCCACAGATTAGCTCTGGGGCAGTTTGGAGTTTGGAGAGACATTTTATTGCCTTTTTTCCTCATGTTTCTACATTTTTTATTTATTTGTTTTCTGTTGTGCTGCGGTTTGCAGGGGCGTATAGTGGAAAGACTTGTTTGGAGATCTCTTTTCTTAGAATTTGCTTTTTAGTGATATACTCTGGGCATGGCTAAATACAGGTCTTTGCGTCTGTCCCAAAATTAACTCAGTTAATTTGGGATGGAAGGATGTGGTGTAATTGGCCCAGTATCCAGTACTCCAGGAGTGGACTAGGCTATTGTTAATGACACAAAGGTGATACAGATATTGCCATACACATAAAACATATTAATAGCAACAACTATGACACCCTAACATTAGCAACTAAATTAGTGACAATAATATTATTTAACACATACTGGATTTTAACATACCCTAAGAACCAATGAAAGAGATCTATAATTATATACAAATAGACAAACCAAATGTTGACATACAGTAGATATCTAATAATATCACTATATTGCAACTAAAAATAGAAAGAAATTAAATAATATTAATAGATTTAACTATTTAAAGATTGATAAACAGAATCAAGAGACAACCTAGAGAATGAGATAAAATATTTGCAGACCCCACACTTGGTAAAATTTAACATTCAAAACATATATAGAACTCAAGTAAGTCAAAAGCATGAAAATAACGTCATTTAAAACTGAGTAAAATACTAATCAACATTTCTCGAAGCAAGACACAATATACAAATGGCCAACAGGTGTAAAAAGTATGCTCAACATCACCAGTCTTTAGGAAATGAAAAACCACAGTGAAATATCAACCCACAACTGTTAAGTGTCTTTAAGTGAGTTGATTTTGGTTTACTTATTTTAGAGGGATTGACGTTAAAGTCGTTAAACATTCAGAGGTTTTTCTTAAACTTATGCTCTAAAAAAGGACAGATGAATCATATTTCACAGAGAAGCAGTAACTCCAGGAAGTTGATTCACCTTTTCCTTGCTCTGATTTATACACAGATTTTCTAGCATTGTAAGGTTGATTCAGCACTTTATGTCTCAGAACAAACTTTTTTATATGACTAAACTTTAAAAGGTGAATATAGTCAAGACTGAGGCTTTAAAAACATTTTGAAATTTCTTTTTCAAATTGCTCTGAAGTTTCCAACTTGAACTGAATTCTGTTTGTGTTGTTTCTAGTCCTGGGAGCTGAAAGATGTCGTATATTATAATCAAGTGTTCATGGATATTTTAAGATACACACTCTTTCCTCCTACTCTTTTCCAAATGCATTCTTCACAATTTCCTGGTTACCTTAGTGATTCTAAATTGGTTCTGGGTTGGTCTATGTCTAAACAGCCAAGTAATTCTTCTGCTGCTTTTCTACTGTGTATAAACTTATTCTGTGGGAATGTCCTTGGATTTAGAAAGTGGTACCTAAGTTAAAATGGAGATCATATGACCCAAATGGAGATTAATTACCAGTGAGGTAAAAGAACATACTGATATTTATCTCTCATTACTAAAATGTTCAATTTTCACAAAACCTTTGGTAGTGAAAATGAAAATATAAGGAATATTCCCTTCCATTGATGTAATAGATTGTACTTTTTAATCCTGCTTTGGAGAAAAGCTCAGATGATATTCTGCTCTATTAAGGAAGGAGAGATTGGGAGTGAAAGCAGAGATAAGGAGGCAGTTATAAGCACAAGGAAACTGAAAAGCAGATATATTAAATGTTTTTTCCCAACATTCCTTCACCCTGATTATAAGATGGTGGGAAGTGAGAAATATGCCTCTTAATTCTGAAACAGGTACTCTTTCAACTCTACCAAATTTTGTCCAAATTGGCTTGATCTAATTTACTCTTTTAGAACTTGGTGAGTAGAAGCAGAGATTCCTCAGCTGTCTCCTACTATGTTCTACCAGATTCTTTCCTTTCACAGTTTCCTACAGAAAAGACAGCCTGCTTGTGTGGCAGCTACCATTAAGCATATATGACATTTCATAGATTCAATTCAGACTCTATGTGTTTTTCTGTATATATTTCTTCTCAATGTGGGTCTATTATCCACTAATAGAGATTTAAGGATATTACAGGTACATAGATGTTGGATTTAAGAGGAAATAATAATGGAATCTTGTCATCATATATCTCATTGCCATCAGAACACATCGATTTGCAGTCTGGAAGACATCAACCAAAAAACAATGCATACCTAAACACTAGGAAAGTGAGGAAAACAGAATAGACTGCCTTAGGCTTTTGGAATCTAGAATGTATGTTTACCTCTGTTTAAAATCATCATACAGCCCTGGGTTTGGAAACTGTTCACAGCATATCCTAATCCCTTCCAAGACACTGTTATAGCATAGCTCTTATGGAACCAAAAGCATCTGAAAGAAAAGATCACATTGAGTCTGTACCTCAAAAGATAATTTACCCAGATTTTGTTCTGATTGCTGCATCTTGGATAAAAGAAAGTTGGAATTTGGTGTTCTCTGTATGAGAGATAACGGGAGCTCTTTACTCCCAACCTGCTATTACAGTATCCAGCCTCCTTCGCAGGAGTCTCTAAGTATGATTTACCTGGAATAGCTTTACATAGACAAGTGTTTGAGTTCACAGATACACACAATTTTATGAGCAAATACCCCAGGAAGATGAAAATATGCATTTTACATAGGATATAAATGTAAATGGATGGTGTTGTCATTTTCATCTGAAAAAAAAAAAAAACCAACTAGGAAGAGCAGTCAGAACACAAAAAGGAACTGTCAGCTTGAAGCAGGATAGTGAGGGGACTACAAAGGAAGTAAGAGAAAGACAGGAGATAATGGGCACAACCACAAAATTCTGTTTACAATTTTGTCTAGAAGAAATTGATCACATGCTGGCCTTCATTTTCCCCTTATGTTGATTGATTGCACCTGAATTTATTCTGTAGTCTAAGCATCTTTCTAACAACGCTTTGTTCATCAAAAGATGCCCTAATATCACTGTCAGCTGCCATCTTTGATAGAAGCCTTCAAAAAAACACCCCAAAAGCTACTCCATCTGGCTTGTACCAAGTCTTCTGGAGAAAGTCATGGGTCACTTCCTAATATAAGGCCTGCTATGACCCAGCCTATATCTAGAATTATGGAAAGTAAGCTTAAGCCATATACTTGTATTCTGATTTCTTTTATAGACTGAAACCACATGACCTCTAACAAAGGGATAGGAGTCCTCAGACACGTTAAGATCAAATGCACCCTTTCCCTTAAAATATAAGAATGATTGTTTTCATTAGCCCATTAAGCTTTTCTTACCGCTTGGTCTTATGAGTTTAAAAAAAAAAAACAACAACAACAAACAAACCTGCTGAAATCAGAACTTACTTGATGGAAAGCAACTCTAACAGGTAATAGAACTGCTCCAAAATAGTGGCAGCTAATTAGATTCCTTGCTAGATGGAAGCTGTGTCTCTAGCTGAATTCAGAAACCCAGCTGATAAGCAACAATGAAGCAAAAACATACAGTCCTGAATGAACATGAGGTGTTTGCATTACAAAAACGCTAATTGTGGCATCATTGTTTAGCACCACACATTCCTAAAATAGCCACAGACTGTCAAGATTGGGGTCTTAATTACAGTAGGTTAATGAAAATGCAAGATCCTAAAGAACTGCTGAAACCAGAATCAGCAACATCTGGGTAGGTATTCCAAGGGCTGGCAGTGCTCTGAAGATATAGGGCTTGTCATATGTACTCTTGAGAGGATGACAGCTTCTGATCAGTGCGGTGATTCTGCAGAGACAGCAGGGAATCATCAGATCCATGATGTAAAGAAAATGTTCTCTATAGCTAATGTCAATAAAATGTTGTTTTCTGAATTAAAAAAATTTTTGCTACCATTCACCTATTCCTTCATCCTCTATCACTACTTGGCAGAAGTGCTTAACTGAAGAAACGAATACTACTGGGAAAGAAGATTAGAGGGAGTTCTTAACAATTAAAAATGGATTTTAGAACTGTCTTTATGGTCAATTTAGTTAATTCAAACCAAATAACATCCATTATGCTGAAATATCAACCTCAATCCTCCAAATGATTATTCAATCCCTTTTTATTATGTTTTGCCTTTCTAGACAATAGCAAAAGAGCTTATCCAGATTTTAATGTGAAATTCAAGGAGAAATTTAAATGAAAATATCAAGCAATCTGAAATTATCTAATTGATCCTGCTTTGTGAAACTCTTTTGTATGTCCTCTTAAATCTTAATTCAAAGGCAGCCTTTTGGAGGTTCAAAAGGCCTCATATTTAACCTATTTTTATTTTTCTACCTAAAAAGATACATTTACATAAAAGGTATCAGTAAATGATTCTTAAGACATTCAACATAGCTCAACTACAATGCATTCCTAGGAGTGGACTGCAAAAAAAAGTCTGGTTGTTATCTGGCATTTTGTTCACTAGAGATTTTATGCAACTCACAAAATGAGGTGCTACCTGACTTCAGATTAGTTACCAATATATTTAGGTTTTCCCAAAATGAAAGCCATAATGATCCCCAAATCACTTTTCAAATCTTTTAAAATAATCCACTTCACAAATGTGTCTAAATCTGACAACTTAATCTGGTCCCCAACACGCACACCAACAGTAAACAATGAATGCAACATTATTGCCTTCTTTTGAAACACACATTAATTCTTTTCTGTGGCAAGTCAACATTTATCTGACAGATATAGTTCGATGGTGACTCATTTCTACATGTTTTGAATTTGATAATATTTTATGATGGAACAATAAAGTGTCTTTTTTGTAAAAAGAAATTATTTCTCAGTTTTTCTACCTATAGAAGACCTTTATTTAACATCAGATTCTGTCCTTTATTTGGAGAGGGAAGCAGGTAGACCAGGAGAAGAACAAAAGGCAATGGTACAGACCCAGCTTCAGTGTGATCCTGGCAGGAGCTGTGAGCTCAAAAGCACAAATTACACCACAGTGGACCCCCTCTGGAGGCAAGGAGGGGTTACAGTCTGCAGACAGAGGATAGGGTTAGATGAGGCAGCGTGGCTGCCATTTGGCCAAAGGCAACTCTGTATCCGGGAGATGTTGTGGACCAATATTCAGCTGGAGGGTGTGTGCTGTACAGAACACTAACAGTGCGCTCTAAAACCCAGATTAATACAGATATACATCTTTTCCAACTTGGCTGACTTCACATACTTTATCTTTATTTGCTGATTTGAAATTTCAAATAAGTAATAACATATGCAGATTGTGAAGCAGTTAATGTATGAATCTATGCTATTAAAATTATTTATGCAGAGACACAATTATTTTAAATGAAGCTCCTTTCTGCCATCCCTTCTCCGCAAAGAAAGAAGGGAGAGGCATTTAAAAAGCTCCTTCTGTCATCTCTAGTGATAATGGCATAAATCATCAAACTTCTAGTGAAAACAGGACTATACCCACTAGACATGTCAAAAATTCATATTTATTTTAAAAATCCATATTTATGTCTCTTACCACAAAACATCTATTTCTGGTGCTTTTCCTTAAGGAAATATTGAGACCGCTGTGCAAAGATATTCACTGAAGCATTATTTAGGCACTGTAAAAAAAAGTAAGCAAAACTAAAAATTAATTAACATGCTTCTCAATAGAAGATTGGTAAAATTCTGAAAAAATATGGATAAAATGAAACACTACAACCTTTTAAAATGATGATATGGATACATTTGAGCAATATGGAAAGATTTCTAGGATTTATATGAAGAGAATAATAGGAAAACCTTTTATTTTGGATATCATCATCATGGACTTATATGGAATACATATATGTATATGTCTAAATATATGTATATGTGTATGTGTGTAAGTGTGTATATATGTAGTGAGCAACATATATGGTGAATGTTTAAATTTTAAAAATGTGTTACAGTAAATGACACATTGCCATTAATCTCCCTCAAAATATTCCCCCTCTTGGGACATATTGTATCATTCCTGTAATTTTCTGAAGACATTCTAGAAGTGAATGTCTTTATGAAGCATGGTCAAAAATATAGTGAATACCGTGCCTAAGTGCCAATCAACAGAAAGACAGGCTTGTGAAAATGTTAGGGTGTGGACTCATGCACCCTTATCCACCAACTTGTAAAACATTATGACCTGTCTTTATCTACCTTTTTCACCAGATTGGCATCATCCAACATTGCCTCTTTCCCAAAGTCAAAATGACTACGAAAGGTGAAATTTTTCAGTATATTTAGGACACAGAGGCAGCCACAGCAATACAACTAGATACTCCTGAACGAGAGCTTCCATAACTGCTTCAGAAAGTAGCAAGAATGATGAGATAAGCATGTTCAAAGCAAGGGGGAACATTTTGAGGGGGGCTAATGATGAGGTATCTTTGCTATAATAAATCCTTAAAAATGTAAACATTAAACTTTTCAATTACACCACATATATATGCTTTTAGGTACAATTATATTATGAGTGACTATAAATGTAAAAATGATGTTGGGATTCCTATATGTATTGCTATCATTGCATGTGAGATTACAACTAGTTTTATGCTCTTCTTTTTTTTATATAATTTCTGTGCTTTGGGCAGCATGAATGCATTACTTTTAAAATTTATAACAATAATAAATGTATATTTAATTTGTCAAATCTATGCTTAGCCAGACTGTCTTACAAACATTTTAGTAGTTAACACACTAAGGTGTACAACAAGAAAGACAAAATTCAAAGGCAATCAAAATACCCTACCTATAAGGAAAACTGAAATATAGTCTGCGGTCCTAATGCAAATGTAGATATTATGAAGCTTAATCACTCATGTTTCTTGAAAACATTGTCAACAGGGTTAAGTGAAGCACTTGACCCTGTGTGTTTTGGTGTTCTTCATTGATGAAAGTGTGTGACTCCATTATGTTTTGGATAGAGAATAGCTCCAAATGCCATGTGGGCACAGAGGTGGGTCTTTAGGAAAGTAATGGATCCTGGGAACTCTATAATCATTGTGAGTTCACATGGAGTGTACTTCTAGGGAGTGGAGCCTGGTGGGAAGAGGCGGGTCATAGCTCCTTCCCCAGATCCTCCCTTCATGTTCTTAGCTCCCTGCCGCCATGACAGAAGCAGCTTTTCCTTTAACATGCCCCTCTGACATGCTTCTTTGGAACCAGGCAATTATAACTGAAATATGAACCAAAATAAACCTCTCCTCCTTAAATAGTGGGGGTCAGCTAATGTGTCCTAGTGACTAGAAAGGGTTTATGACAAATATTGTCCACCATTAATTTAAAAAAATCTGTAACTCTGCTCCAAAGTAGTTGGATTTCTTAAATAGGATTATTATGAGCAATTTAATGTTTGGATGAATTAGACAGTTGGAGGCAAGTGTTTTCAAGGAGAGCATAAAGAAACTTTAAAAAGAGAGACTATTCGGTACTATTGTTCTCTTCTAGTTACAAAGAACACAGGACCTACCCTGAAGAGTCAGAAGAAAGAGCCTCTCTAATTCTCTGCTCAAACCACTCTCTGATCTCTTATGATCAGAAAATTACTCAACTGGGAGCCATACGATTATGTGGCCACTATCTAACAGACTTCTCAGAGGCACTTGAGCAGCTATTAGAATCAGGCAAATGTACTGCCTGGAGATTAGCAGAGTCCAAGCACAATATTTCTATTTCTCTTCTTCCTCTTGTGGCAGGCCCAGGAGATTTTAGGAATAATCCTGGATTATATCATCATGTGATAAAAATTCAGAAGGAATCATCCATATCAATCAGAAGTCCCAAACAAGACTGATAGAGCCAGGACTTTACATGGAGCAGGGAGCCAGACCAAAGGAGAGGAAGGATGGTAGCAGGTGAGGGTCCAGGACCTACTTTAAAAACAGCTGCTGTGCTCCCCCAACCCTGCGATGATGATAACCAGGCTGACCAGATTTTCCGTTTTCCCAGAATTTTCACTTTTTAAAAGAATAAGGAAAATCCATAGGTACATGTAAAATCTTTTGAAATTTTTAATCTGTGAGAACCAAATAAAACACATTCGAAGCCAAATTTCCATTCAGAAGCTGCTACTCTATGATCTTACTGTAAATCATGGACAGCTTCTTTCTGTGGTTAGCACTGGTCCAGATGTGAGGCTGGAATTAGTAACTTGAGCTGTCTCTTTGGATCCATTATAAAAGGATATGGAACTACTTATTAAATCTTTTTTTTTAAATCGGTACCAGGGATCTAACTCACAACCGCACGCTTGCAAGGCAGGCGCTTATGCCACTGAGCTAAATCCTCAGCCCCTACTTATTAAATCTTAAATGTATGCAACTTGTCCATGTGTTAGTTTTGCTTATTTGTCTCTGGGACGCAGTGAGAACACATTAAGCACTAGCCTAGGACCCAGAAACCTGTGTCCTGCCTGGAGATAACCATTTAGTAGGTTCATAAAACTGCAAACTCTACACTTAACTCCTTTATGTTTGTTCTTGTAAAATAGGGAAAATCCCCTCTGTACACATCTGAAAGGGCCATGCAGGGGTTATGAAAAATAATGTATCTAAAGGCACATTATAAATGTCAAATTGTTAAATGAGGTTAGTTGCCATTGGGCCAATAAATATTTATAGGATGCCTTTGAAATAGGTATTTGCTGTGTGCTGGAGGCTGCAATCGAACAAGTAGCCATAATCTCTGTTCTCATGAAACTTTTAATATCCCAAGTTTACAGAGCACTGTGAAAGGAAATTTCAGGATCTTGTATAATTTGGATTAAATGTGTACAGTTCTACCTCATATGGCAATGTTTTGGTTAAAAACGGACCACATATATGACAGTGGATCCATAAGACTGTAATAAAATTGAGAAAATACTATTGTCTAGTAATATTGTAGTCCTTGGACCACTGAGGCAAAAATGCCTCACTTATTAGTTAGTGGTGATGTTGGCATATAAACAACCCTCCATGCCACTGATCATGTAAAAATACAGTATAGTGCATGCTATACTGTATACTACATAATAATTGTTAGTAAATAACCATTTTACCAGTTTACATAATTAGTATGCTACATTTTTATCATGATTACTGCCTCAAAAGGCCACATGGAGTAATTGTCCTATCTAAGTTTATACGAGTATACTCTATGATGTTTGCTAATGGCATATTTCTTAGAACATCCCCCATCGTTAGTGACACATGATTGTGTCACTGATTGTTATAGCTGGATATTGCCCTGAAATAATTTATCAAAACACATTGTTTTAATCTCCCTTTGCGGTGAGGTCAGTAGAAAATAAAACCAGGACAGAAACAGGCGTCTTGAAATATATCTATCTTAGAGTATGAATATTATCTCCCTGAAGAAGTACCAGCCTGATGATAGACTCTAATAAGAGGGGGTGACACGGATGACAGGAAGCAGAAACAGATATCACAGAAAAGAAGAAAAGATTTTTGTAAAAGCTGAAGCAACCATCAGTTCCATTCTGAAGTTGAAAATCAAGGAAGACTGACTCACCACTGTCAGTCCCACTGTAATTTTCAAAAAGCCTCACCAGGAGATTGTCAGATGACTTTCTAAATACAGCCACCACTGTTTCATTAAAAAGTCTTTGTTCTTTTCAAGCCAACCACTGGTGTGCTAAGGTTCCTTTGGAAAGGCACGTGTGTCAGAATGTACATTATGTGAAAAAAAATAACAAATTGTGTGGGTCCTTTAATTTTACATCAGTTTGATGCAACAGTACTGAACAATACTACAACATTCTATTGTGAACTCCAAAGAGATTTTCAAGCTTTACCATTTATATTGTTAAAGGAAAGAGACAGGAATGAGATGAAAGGAGGCAAGAGGAGAGAAAGAAAAGAGAGAGAGAGATAGAAGTAATGAGAGAGAGGAAAGAATGAAAAGGCAGGCGGAGTACAAGCAGCAGAAGACGAGGAAGGACTATGTCATTTGCTTGAAGCATGCGTGTTTGTAGTCCTCTGTAGAAAATAAGAGATGAAATAATCCCTGACGCACAGTGAGCACTAAAAATAATTATCTTCTTCCCAGAATCATTGGTCAGAGGCAGAAAACAGGGATGCACACATCAGTGGGGGAATGAGCAGAGGCCGTGAGGGTCATTAGATTTCTTTGTTGGCCATGGTTTTCAGGCCATTACTTCACACCGACTAGTCCTTTATGGGTGAACAAAAAATTTTTCAACAAAAAAAGATCAACTGAAATCACTTATACACACAATATTGAGTTAAAAGATGGACAAATAAGGAAAACTTCATGACTTTGATGATTTCCAGGCCTTTTTGTAGCAGTCCAGCTTTGAGTTGGGGTGACAGAGTCCATTTTAAGTTTTTTGAACTCTATGTGCATGGAATGCTATTACAGTATGGGTATTTCATTTCCGAAGTGCTAAAAGGCTCACAACCTTTCTTCAGGAACTGAATTTTGTTTTATTCTTCTTTTCATTTTACCTAAACTCCACTTAAATTTTATCTGAGAACATTTGAAACAGAGTCAGGAAATTTAAGCCTAGGGATCTAGGGATAATTTACCACTCCCACCTAATGTATAAGTTCCAAGTGAAGGA